AGCGCAACGCTTTGATACAGTAAAGCAAATGCGCGAAACGCTAGTAGAGTACGAAAAGAATTTTCCAATAAGCACTACGCTTAGTAGTCCCCTTTCAGACACGTCAAGTCTTGCGTTCAAGTCTGCTCGTTTGTTGGCGAAGGAGGTGGGAAGAGAGGGGAAGAGTACAGATACCTCCGTACCGTCAATTCGTTTCAAGTTTTCTTGTCTCTTTTGATCTTTTCGTTGCTTCCCATTTAAAGAAGCAAAAACTTGAATTCAACAGAATTGAAACGTGTAAAAGCAAATAGAAAACACAAAAGAGAATGCGAAAAAAATTGCTTTCAAGACTTGACGTGTCTGAAAGGGGACGTACATTAAAAGTTACAAAGAGAAACAACGAATATGAAAATGTAAGCAAAACTGAAAATCTCAGCAAAACAGATGAAAACAAGTAAATTTTAGCAAAAAAAACCGACTTCAACTCTCATATTAAAAAAAATATATATATATATATATCATGATCCACTCCATTCTCGAAATCGGTTGACGTGGTCCAATGTTATGTGGTAACATACATAAAAAAAAATTATATATATATATATATATATATATATATATATATATATATATATATATATATATTTATCATGATCCACTCCATTATCGAAATCGGTTGACGTGGTCCAATGTTGTGTGGTAACATACATAAAAAAAAATAAAAAAATATTCCGACGAACTGATAACCTCCTCCTTTTTTGGAAGTCGGTTAAAAAGGTAAAGGGTGGCTCAACATATTATAACTGCCAGGAAGTAGGGCATATCTCTTTGAACTATTCAGGGCCTTAACGTCAGCAACGCTGTGCCAAGTGTAATAAAGTGCATACGAGAGGTGAAAATGAATGTAAATTCGCCGCTGTAGTGCGAAGTATATATTGTGAAAGCAATAACCATTTTAAAGTAGGTGTAGCTTTTATTGATTAAAAAATCAGTGTGCGCTGCCATTAAATGTGACCGTGAAGAATGTATGTTAAAAATTACTGGCATATGTGGTGGTTTTCGATACTCAAAAGAAAAAATTAATACAAATATAGTGATCAATGACGAAAATGTATCGGTCACGTTGTACTTAGTTGATGATATTTTGCTTGGTCAGGACAATTTTTGTAGATAACAATTTGCGTTTAAAAATTGACGGTGGCAATGTAACTGTTGAAAAAGTAAATAAACGCTAAATTAAACAAATAAAACGGTGTGTAAGGGATGATATCAAATTAAATGCGAAATAATTGATAAAAATGTGAAATCGGAACTAATGCAAATCATACAAGAATATAGTAATGTGTTCGCAGAAAATTTGAGCGATATTAGCAAAACAGATTTAATCAAAATGGAAATCGAATTGAAAAATAATGAAGTTCTATTGCAATCACCGTATCGGCTTCCGGAACCTAAAAAAACCAATTGTAACAAAGATGACAAACGATTTAATTAAAAACGATATTTTAATATTTTTAATGAGCTTTGTACCACGATAATTTTATTAGAAAAAATGGAAACAGCAACAAAGTCTAGGCGGTAGAAGTTATAGCAGCTTCTTCTACCGCTTAGACTTTGTTGCTTTTGCCATTTTTCCTAATAAAATAATCGTGGTACAAAGCTCAATAAAAATATTAAAATAAAATGTTAATAAGCCACAATATCATCGACAAATACATAGTTTAGGAAGAGCCTGCCTGAAACTATACAAGAAAGCAAATGCATGTATAGAATTGACAACAACAACCACGCTGTCAAGTTTAATTAGCGGCAAATCAGCTGCACTTGATAGCAGTAGGTTGAATAAGGAAAATGAATTAGCAACACAAGTTTACGGAGTGTGCATTAGGGCGGGTCGAAAATCTAATTTTTCTCAAATCTCTTTGTAATGGTGAAAATATATTGTATCATGAAGTCAACAACAAGCCTGCAAAATATTAGTATTTTATTTTAATTGCAAGAGCCCGCGCATCGACCGCCAAGTGACCCACAGCACACTAGTCGAATAAGACCAATTCTTGTTAAAAATTCTGGGTTTAGCAAAAATGTTTGATGCTTGTTATTAGATAATGAATCCGTTAACGCAAAAGATAAAGTCAAACATCATTTTCTCGCAGCCCTTTAGCTTATCGTTAATCTCAAACTAATCTGTTTTTCAACCAAATTGTAATTGTTTTGTTGATAATTGTACTGGTCTATAGTCAAGAGATGTAAATAACAGCATTAACATTGCTAGCGTGCATTTAGGTCACTGGTCCTAAATATCCTAATCTTTTTTTAATATTAGAGTCAGTTTGCGAATGTTTGCAAATTTAGGAACAATATCGGTAGCTCTAATAGAAAAGCCATTATTTTCCATTATCGTGGAAAAAATTTTGTTTATGCAAATGAGTATGAAAACACTGAACAGGCGCAACTACTAGAAACACTAATTAGTTTACTTATGTTTGTGCATACAATATAAAGAACCGCAAATATAGGAAAATGACAACAAATTTTTTTCAACAATTTTTTTGTATATTAAAATAATTTGTTTATAATCTGAACGATTTTCATCATATTATTATCATAAATCAGTAACAGTAAGTCTCGTCTTCAATTTTGTAATTATACGTACCGATCGAGTAACATTTACCAAAGTTATATCGAAAAAATTAAGTGGATCTCCAGTTTTTTCTAAAAAAAATTCTCTTCAATTGTATAAGTCACCTTTAAATGAAAGACCCGGTTTACAGAAAAGTGTGCCAGGGAGTGACTTTTTCGTCCAAGCTGAGGGCAAAACAATATCGTCCAATTGGAGAGTCCTCAAAAGGATTTCCCAGGATATGTTAAAGACTATTGCATTTACCGACTGTCACTTTTTCACATAATGGAATTAACTAAAACATTTATGTATATCTAAACACTTATTGCACGCCCGCTACTTTCATATAAAGGCAAATTTAGAAACCGCGAAAAATGTGCTTCTGCGGTACCATGAAACCATTCCGCACCAATTTTCAAGACTGCATAAATGGACTTAAAATGGGCGCTTCTCACCCTAATTGTATTATCTTAATGTATTTAAATACTTATATGCTTGAAACTACTATTAACTTATCAAACGATACCTAATCTTTGAAAATACATGTTTGACTTCATTAACCACGATCTTGAAAACTGACCAAATCGGCGTGACCAAGTCAATAGTCCTTTTAATATTATATAAACATCCGAAAACATTAAAACGTTTGAAATAAATCTCGTCTCACTTGTTTGNTGTAATTATACGTACCGATCGAGTAACATTTACCAAAGTTATATCGAAAAAATTAAGTGGATCTCCAGTTTTTTCTAAAAAAAATTCTCTTCAATTGTATAAGTCACCTTTAAATGAAAGACCCGGTTTACAGAAAAGTGTGCCAGGGAGTGACTTTTTCGTCCAAGCTGAGGGCAAAACAATATCGTCCAATTGGAGAGTCCTCAAAAGGATTTCCCAGGATATGTTAAAGACTATTGCATTTACCGACTGTCACTTTTTCACATAATGGAATTAACTAAAACATTTATGTATATCTAAACACTTATTGCACGCCCGCTACTTTCATATAAAGGCAAATTTAGAAACCGCGAAAAATGTGCTTCTGCGGTACCATGAAACCATTCCGCACCAATTTTCAAGACTGCATAAATGGACTTAAAATGGGCGCTTCTCACCCTAATTGTATTATCTTAATGTATTTAAATACTTATATGCTTGAAACTACTATTAACTTATCAAACGATACCTAATCTTTGAAAATACATGTTTGACTTCATTAACCACGATCTTGAAAACTGACCAAATCGGCGTGACCAAGTCAATAGTCCTTTTAATATTATATAAACATCCGAAAACATTAAAACGTTTGAAATAAATCTCGTCTCACTTGTTTGTATTTTTCACTTGGTTGCTGAAGTAATGAAGAATTGAAAATGCATGGGGGAAAATTATAGTTTTTGTAAGTTTTATCTTAATATCTTAAAAACTTGTAGACTTATTGAAAAATGATAACTGAACGTGAGGTACTAAATTTAATAACCCTTAATTTGATATATCGTGCTGTTTATAACAATTAACGCATTCCATGGATATTACAAGCCAAAGTTTCATTTTCGAAATTCATACACTTTTATTCAATTTCACGGGCTAAAGATAAGTTTTAAATTAATCTTTCGTGGCCAATAACAATTGGCTTAGACCTAAGACATCATAATATTACTATTACAAAACCGTCAAATGCCTTTTATTTTCCCCCATACAAAATCGACCCAGCCTAGTGTGCATAGCTCAGTGCAAGAATGATAGAATACAAGATTGCGCCGTCCTGGCCGTTGACATTTGTGTACCACAAGTAAACAAAGAATAGAGACAAAGGTAGAACGAGTTGAAACTGTCAAAACAGTTCACTTTACAGCGAAAAACGTGTTTTGATTTTGATCAATGCGAAAATATTGCATTTTTCATCTAATCTATTGGAGAATAGTGAACGTTTTAGTGCACTCCATGCTTTGCAATTAAGGCTGCTGCAGCAAACGTTTTAGTGAACTCCATTGCTTTGCAATTAAGGCTGGTGCAGCAAACTGCGACAGCATCTGAGTGGGATTGATTAGTTAACTTGCTAAAAGAGGCTGCTTGGAACAGAAGCGATATGATTGTGATAAAATGCTGTAAATATAATAATAAAAAAACATTTCGGCTTTGCCACGCCCTATATACACAAAATGCAGCGATTCGTCGCAGCGTTACACTTTCATCTACGCATAATGAGATGGGGCACCATGGCACACTTCATGGAAGGACAACAGCGGGAATCGGAGCCATGCAGTGTGCATGAGTGCAGTACTACCAACAGCTGTTCCTGCAAATCGTGAATATCGTGAAGCATCTGGAACGCAACTATTATTTCGTACCTTGGTCGTTTACGCAACATACCTGAAGAGCTGGAACAAAGATATAAATTACAGGGATTGATCCGGCCCAATAAATATGCAGGTTAGTTGGTGTTATACACATTTGTAAATATAGGGAAAACTTTTGCTTTTTGTCGCAGGCGAATCGAGAAAATCTACTTTCCTCAAAGAGATGCGTATAATACGCGGCATTATTTATGAACTCGAACTTATTCCAAAATACAAATAAGTGATATATCAAAATGTATTACGAGGTAAGCTTTAAATCATTTTTTCCAATAAGATCTGTAAAAGAACTAATCAGGAATCTTTGTTTGAAGGAAAGCACGTATTGATTGATGCTCGTCAAAAACTGGGAATCCCATAGGGAAACACCGAACAAGAAACAATGCGAAATAGGCGAAATTAATTGAATGTAGTAAAGTGGAAATCGACAATTTCATACAGTGGGCTCCATATATTCGTAGACTATGGCAAGATACTTTTGTAGTGTTCTACTTCAATATTGACATAACTCCAAAACCAAACGCTCGAAAACACTGTTTTCAAGTTTTGAATTTTACCTTAATTTAGAAAGGCCGCTATCGTCGCTGAAATGTAAAAAAGCCATAACTAACTACAATTTATATTGCATAAACGATGAAAAGCATCATAATCAATCAAAAATCGAGTTTTGCATATTGAGTTAGTTACGGCATTTTGTATTTTAACGACGATGTGAGATATGGCCCTTCTATGTTAAGGTAACGATATACTCCCATATCAAAAATGAATACTTATTTTGCTCTACTGAGCTAGTGGTAATCAGTGCAGGGGAGATTCCGTAACCAGTTAGCGACAATTTGCGAATCGCTAACTGGTTACAAAATCTCCCTCCAGATATGAAAGTACACAACATAGAAGAGCAGTTAGCAGCCATTTCTCTATACTTAACTCGACTTTGTATTATATTGGACATTGAGATTATGACACTATTGAAGTAAATGAGCAATAAGTAAACACACATTTTTTTGTCTCTTTGTTAATTTAATCAAATAAAACACCTCTTTGAGGTAAAATTTTCGAGTGGCGAAAGCTGAACTAGAAACACAAAATTTATGATATCAATTTCATGACGAAAATTATACGCATTTTTTAACTGCCTTGGAAACGTACGGGAAATCTTTTTTATTCATACGAATCGTTGCAAAAGTTCTGTTTTCTATTTTGTGTTTCTAGCAGTAAACGGAATTTCGCAACGTTCCGAATAAATAAAAAAAGATTTTCCGTACGTTTGAAAGGCAGTTAAAAAATGCGTATAATTTTCGTCACGAAATTGATATCATAAATTTTGTGTTTCTAGCAGTAAACGGAATTTCGCAACGTTCCGAATAAATAAAAAAAGATTTTCCGTACGTTTGAAAGGCAGTTAAAAAATGCGTATAATTTTCGTCACGAAATTGATATCATAAATTTTGTGTTTCTAGTTCAGCTTTCGCCACTCGAAAATTTTACCTCAAAGAGGTGTTTTATGTAGGGAATTTCGGTTTAAGTGGCAACCGGGGAATGGGCAATTTTTTTCGGGGAACTGGGTATGTTATTTTTATATCTGAAAAATTGCTAATGTTTTTTAGCAATAAAGCTTCACTTTCACTAAGTGTAATTTTTTATTTAGGGGAGCACAAATTAACTGTTTAAAATATTGCCTGTCGCTTAAATATCCGCATAAAAGGAAAACACCGCCGATTGCATCGATTACTCATAGACTGTCATTTTAATTTCTCATTTTCTTCCTTTTATAATATTTCTTCTTACATCTAATTTGCAGTTACCTAAACTTCCAAATTCCAACATTAAAACGGTAAGCTCTTCGCCTGCACCTATGAACATACGTATGTGTGCATGTGTACCAGAGAGCGTGGACAAAGCCGTGCTTGCAGTAGGCATACACACACCGCATGCACATAGGTACATTAGAATACTGTAACCATGCATTTACTTACATTAGGGTGGTGCTAAAAACTAAAGGTAAGTAAATTGGTAAGTAAACTCGAATTTCATTTAAAGGGAAAACAAGGTAAGTAGAAAGTAATTAT